GCCAAGATGATAACCAACATATTCCACCTCCCGGCGACAGAACTGGAATTTCTCAGGCTGCAAAGTTATTCTCTTATTTGCACATGTCACAATGACCCATGGGGGTCCTCAGGTAACGGTATCTACCCCATGGCGTTGTGAATGTCGTAAGATGGCTACTTTCCTCATCTAACTGCACCTGATGAAATCCCCAGTACGCATCTGCAGCTATATTGTAGCTGTGTCTTAGGACCCCATTTACCATATCAAATGGTGTCCTGGTGTGGTGTCTCTCTCTCTTGCACCACTTATTCAATTCTTGATAATCCACAGTCCTCCATGGCTGCCCATTCCGCTTGCTTACCACTACCATACGAGCACACCATTCCACTGGTTCACCTACTGGCATTGGAGTGATTATTCCTCTCTTCGTGTCCTCATCCAGCTGTCGCTTCACCTCTGCCTCCCAGTGCCTCGCAACTGGTGTGGGAAGCGGTGGGCTGGTCGTCAGGCAGCAGGTGGAAGTGGTGTGGTGGACCATCCATCACAGGGAGCGGTATCCGAGAGGTGTTATATAATGAACCCGAAAAGTGCTGCTTTAGCCACTCTTCCAGGTGAGGTGAGAGAGTTACTCTAGTGGGCTTCTGTGGTATACTACCGTTTTCTTCACCATCCTTTTTGAATACCGCCGACACCTCTGGCTCTGGGAAGGGAAACTGGTCAGACACTAAATCCTAACTGCCTACACGCCGTCAACGACAGGAACATTTTTGGTGCTAAATTTAGGAAATACACTCTTCTGTACTTCTTCTCCCGAATGCCTTCATCTTCAAAGTGCATTCATTTGCCGGGACATATAACATGTGAGTTGTCTACTGCTCTCACTTCAGTGCACCTTGACAATTCCTTTGCAGGTATCTTCAGTCCTGAGAAGCCACGGGCTTGCCACTGAGTTATTGTGTCTGCCACTGCCATCAACTCCGTAAATTCTGTACCACTCATATTCTGCACACACGTCATAACCGATGCAGCTAGCACCGCTCCAGAGGCTGTGGATGGTGCTGCTTCCATTTTCTTCCTGCAAGTCTAGTCTGCCGTCGGACATGCTGCATCCTTCCTCTGCCTCCTGTCACAACAGGGCCGGTCCAGAGACGAGCCGCTTTTGTCCTCTCCCTGACACCCAGACGCCCAACTGCACAGACGTCTTGCGTGGCGCATTCCTCCTCCACATCTGCTACAGCCGCTGCAGCCCGCCACGCCTGCACCTCTCTCTGGGCACTGTCGTGCGATTCACATTTTCCTACAATTTGTCCACGTCTAAATATTCCTTGTACCTCGCATACAACTGTCTTTTCAGTAGACATTCATTAATGCCTGGCAACACTTTTCTCACTAATATGTACGCCTTTAAATCACATGAGCAACTTGGACGTCGAAAATCGCACTTCGACACCTCACTTTTTCAACCACATTCAAAGCTTCCTGAATGTTTAATGCCGATCACTCCGACACACTCTACTTACTGTCTAACAGCTGCTGAAGCTCGCTCGTGCACAGTAACCTGATCCACTGCACCGGGTACTTCACACTGCCACTTGCAAGGCATACCTCCACTGAGCGCCGCCATGTCCTATAGGCCTGTTCAGTGACACCAACGCCGCACTTTTCCGGCACCACGCTCCCGTGTTTGTTGAGGCTGCACTCGCAATAGAAGACATGTTCATCAGCCTGCCTTCATCCATGTCTTGGCTCTGTAGATCCTGGCTTGGCCTGGTGCGATTATTAGCGGCCGGCGTCCACTGTTGTGCTCTGATCGGTGACTCTTCGCCCGGTTCGCCCAAGGCATTCCTTAGCTCTGTTATTTCTGCCGACATTCGTTCAATGAAGCTAACTAGTTCTTCTCTTCCCGCCATCGTTTCGAATCACTGCGCCATGTAGGATGGCTAAATGAGACAGCATGCCTGGGTAGGGTGATTTGTTTAAGAACACATCTGCATGAATTCCCAGTATCTGCCCGTTCGCTCCCCCTCCTGCCCCTGCGCACGCACGTCCCTTAACCTCCTTATTCAAGCTGTCGCACCACACGTAACAATTTATATTTATATATGTATATATATACAAACACACACACACACACACACATACATATATATATATTATATATGCATATATATACTACACACACACACACACACACACACACACACACACACACACACACACACACACACACACACACACACACACACACACACACACACATATATATACACATACATATACATATACTATCTATATATATATATACATATATATATTTATGTACATATACATATATATATTTATGTACATATACATATATATATTTATGTACATACACATATATATATTTATGTACATATACATATATATATTTATGTACATATACATATATATTTATGTACGGCTATGGTCGAGTAAAGTGAGGACCATCAGTACCCACTAGTCTACAACCAGGCTCAGGATCGAACCTGGATTCGAATCTGGATTCAACCACCGAATCCATATCGAACCGCCACGTATTCAGGCGAAACAGTTTAATAATGGATAAGGCAAATAATAACCGCATCTCTTCACAATATTTATAAATATATATATATATACATATAATATATATATAATATATATACATATTTAAGATATAATATATAATATATATACATATATGTATAAATAATTTGTACATACTGGTTGACATTTAAAAATCCGGATTTTTTCAATGTATATTGAACAGAAAGATCAAAGGAACCGGATTATCGATGGCCGGTATATAGATATATTGTAATATATTCATACTTTTACACACACACACACACATATATGTGTGTGTGTATGTGTGTTTGTGTACGTGTTTATAAGCATAGTTACATGTAGTTATATATGTATAGTTATATGTACATGCACATACATATATTTTGAAGATAATTGTTTTTTATTTATTGTTCTTTTTTACAATAGCCAGCCGTATATCCTATGATTTTTACATAATTAACAGTATTTAAGTGTGTAGTTTCCTAGAGATAATCACTTAATCACAATACAAATGTGTTAGTAATGTATATGAGTTGTCATCGGAATGATATTGTGATATTTCAACAGTTTATTACATTTTCAGGCATGGGATGAGGGCACCACGCATGGAAATAGTGAAACAGAAGTAACAAGGAGTGGGGAGTGGAAACAGCTCAGAGTCAGTGCCAAGAAAAAGACCTCCCAGGAGAGATCATATTCAGTAAGAACAAGTAAGCATTTTAATCTCTCCTTTTCTGAGTTTCTGTTTGTGGTTGAAGACAACCACATGTTGTATAGGCTTTATATGTTTTTCATATAGTGGCCACAGATGTTTTACATGTGTACATTCAGTGTGGCATGTTTCTGTGTGTTGTTTTTTCCTGCTTTTGGGAGTTGTATTCTACTTCCTCTGATATCTGGCAAGTCTCCTGGCAGAGAGTAGCACACACCTAGTTACATTTCAGTTTCGGTACTTCTCAAAATACTAAGTATTTTGCAGAGTCGTTCACTCAGATCCCGTTGTAAATGGATGAAGCACTCAAGTACAACCCTTGAATTCCTCAGTGAATTATTTCATCATTTCAACACAAGGTAGTTTCTATGAAAGTGTAAGCAAAAGTCAATAGTGTGTTACTCATAGACAAGCAGACTAAAGGGGGCTTAGGGCTAAGTGACATGGCCCAAAATCTGGGCATTAGGCATTAGTTGAATGGTGCTGCTCCCAGGTGTGTAACTTGTAGGCCCAGAACACACACTCATATGCAGTTAGTGTTAGTGTCATTTGATGTGTTATTTCAAAATGGTAGTAGACTGTTTTCTGTGCAGAGACTGTATCATCTCTTTAGGTAGTCTGCAACTTTGTTCAATAAAAATAATAATGAGTAAAGGTATTTATGTGTTTTTTAATATTTTCATATTAGTCGATTTTCTGTAATACACACTGCGCCACAGCAGTGTGTGCGGTCACAGCAGGCAGGAACGGGATCCTGATCATGGGGATTGTGACCTCCTTGGAGCTGGCATTCTTCCAGGCGTGGTTCATGGAAGGTACATTCCACACTTGTTTCCCTGTGGAAATAAAGCGAGATTCCTTTCTTAATTGCCCACTGAGGATAATTTTCCCTCAAGAGCTTTTGTGCACTCATGATGAATCATTCTCCTTAACCAGCCCTTAACCAATTTTACTACACACTTGACTGAAGTGCTGTAACGACATGGTCTTGTTGGCCTGGAAATTATATAGGTATATATGTAGAGCACTTGATAGTGCAGGTAAAAGAAATCCTTTAGCTGGGTGTAATGCATCGCGGAAGATCGCATATTTTAGGTGGGATGCCAGTGACATGGAGAGTCAAGAGCATGAAGGAAGCTTGATTATACCCTAGCTTGATGGAAATTTTTGATGTGCAGCTAAGTATATCTGTCATCTTCAGATGTCTGCTTCAATCACTCACAAAGTATCTTTAAAAATGTAGCACAGTGTATGGACTAAATATACTCAGTGATGCTGACAAGTGTGATAGTTATCATACACGCAGGCAACTGCGCACACACTCTGGCTGGCCTGAGTGCCCTATGGTTGTGCCTCTCATCATTGTCTTGGAACGTACTAGACTGTTCATGATTTTATTCTCAGTATTATCTTCTTTAATTACCAGGGTATGAAAAAAATTAGCGACATGTTTGTTTCATATATTGCATTTAATAATTATTTTCTTTATAGAAGCAAAAGCCTTCTTTTATATGCTTGCTGATATAAAAGAAAAGAAAAGAATTGAAATGTGTGGGGATGCTGATATATATAAAACTACCCGTCACACATCACACAGATATATATTAATAGTGACTATTAATATGGTCTGTACATCGATTTGTTAAACAATTATAGAATCTCATTCGAATCAAGAGGAAGCTGTAGCGAGTGAGAAGGAAGGGGGAAGTGCTCCACTTAACAGCAGGTAAGGGTATACTCAGAACCTTTTCATGGAAAATTTCCAGTTAGCGATGAAACATGTTAAATGATTCATACCATTGTGCAATAAACACCTACTAACCAGTTTCAGTTAACCACAGAAAACGTTTTGTATATATTATTGCTAACCACGGGGGTAATTTTCATTAACTAATATTACTTTATGATAATGGAATTATAGTACCCTCCTCACAAAATGACAGTGACATACAGTACCTGACTGCATGACAGTAGATTAATATTCTTGCTTTGATAATGACCTTAGTATTTGTCATACATAAATGTCACTCACACTAGATACAGTTTAGAGGAATAGCCTAGAGGGTATAGAATGTGGTTATTTTTACTTTATTTGCAAAATAAATAATCTAAATAAACATCCCAAGGCATCATTTTGTAAATTCATTCACAACACTAGACTTTATAGCCCATTTTATCTTGCATTTTTGCTCCTGAAATCCGTCTGCTACAAAATGTTGCCGGTGGCGCCTCCATATGGGTGTGACGTAGTACATTGTATATGCGTCAGTAAACAAAGTGAACAGCTGGCGTGCTTTCATGTGGTATTGTGCATTAATTGTGACAAATTTCAATGTCTGGTGACAATTTTAGTCCGCAGGGGACTACCAAACGACAGAGGAAAGATGGAGGCATTCGATGTGCAGCGTGGGGATGCGGTAAATCCAAACTGAAAGACAATATTGGAGTGTTTGAGTTTCCAGATCGGGAGAGATCGCCGGACCGCTTCCGATTTTGGTGTAGTTTGGTTAGCCGTACTCGGAAAGATTTTAGATTCAGTAAAGGGACGTCGCGGTTGTGTGCCGATCATTTTGATTCCGATCAAATCGAGAATTGGATGCGCATAAAGTTAATGGAGGAGGAAGACCCAGTGGCAGCCAGAAAAATTCCTTGGAGACTGATACCACACGCTAGGCCCAATCCATCCCTCTTCCCTCGGCCAGGGCATGGATCGACGCCCCAACCCAAGCAGCCCCAGTCAATGGGCAATTCCGTCGAGCCAACTCGGAGGCCTTGGCCTAGGGAAACTACTTCAGAGGACATGGAGATTACTAAAGGTCCCAGAAGGGGTGCTGCTGCAATCAGAGAAAGGAAAAGGGTAAGGCCTAGGTTGTTTTATTGGCTGATTTAGAATTCGGAGGCCCCCTATTTATTTTTTAAATGAAGTGAATGGTTATGATGGTGACAGCCTGTATAGTGGCATCCCTGTTATTATCGAAATATTGCTTGATGGGGAAGCACAACTCATGAGATGTCTTGGGAATAGGAAAGAGAGGTCAGGCGTGCTTGGCATTGACCCCCCCCCCGCCTAGGCCATATGCATAATATATGGTAATGCATGCTGCATGTTATATCTTTTTTATCTTATTCTTTCAGCTTGTTGAAGATGCTCAGACAGACATGGTACAGAAAGACCTGGAGATGATGGCTCAACAAGATGCAATTTCAGACATGATGGATATTTATGTAAGAGAGGTCGCTGAGGGGCATGGCCTGGAGACTGGCAAATCCAAGGTAGGCAACATTGGTGTCATTCAATTCCTGGCATGAAATTTGAATGGCGCTGCCACTAGGTCTACACAGTATACCCCATGGGAAAATTAAAATTTTAATAGTGTAGGCCTGCCAAGGCCATGGAACAATTTAAGGGGTATCACCATGTCTCTTTTTTTAATTTTAAAACAAATCTTTTATTTTTCAGGTAACACACAGAGATATTCACATCCAAGTGAACAGACGGCCAACTCATCGCTCTACCAGGGTTCAAATCTGTCCAAAGACATTTTCCCAGGGTAAGTTTATCTTTTAAGATGAAATAACCAGTATGGACATTTGTTTTGTTCCTGGACTTCAATATAGAGGCATCAATATGACACAGAAATATCAGTATATCAATATCAGTTTGCACCAAAAATGTTCCATTTCCATCATGGCGGCATGGCCAGCAGGTAAGTGTGATGTCCAGTACATCTGCATAATTTTTATAATTGATCATGTTCAACCAAGATAAGACCAGACTTTTTTTACGAGTTGTTTTTATAATATTAAAAATAAATTTGTAGTTTTGTTTGGTATTTCGACTGCTTGCAAGTGGGCGGTAGGCCTAGTGGGCTTGAGAAAACCCGTGAAAATAAATGTTCTTTTAGCATAAAAAAATCTGGCCTGATAAGCCTACATTTTTTAAAAAGTATACTGTTCTGAATTTCCGACTTTATCTTGCTAGACTCCATTATAACGAGAATGGTAACAAGGAGCAGGCGGTCACTCAATCAGGTGTAGACCGGTTGCAAGTTATTTTTCCTAAAGTGAAGAAAGGAGGCTACTCTGTACGTTGCATCAAGAAATCAAGCACGTACAGTAAGTATTACTAAAAATAGATAGTCAATGCACTGACAATTGCCAAATCAAATGGATGTAGATATTTCAGTCTAAATTGCGGTGTTCCATCTACAACTGTACCTTTATCTGGATCAGTGACAGTGAATAACACTACTGGCAGTTCAGTGCAACAAGTTCCACAATACATGTAAATTCACAGCAAGGCTATTTTGAAAAAAAAAAAAAAATATATATATATATATTTACAATAAAAATGGAACAGAATTTATTAATTTACATATTTACATCTTTCCCATATTGATTGCAGATTATGTGAACAAACTCCTTCAGGAAATCCAGCACCGATGCATTGCTGGAATCAAAAACACCACGAAGAGACGTCATGCCACACTATGTCAAAAATATCAGCACCCTGAGAAAGTCACAGCTGTACAGCAGTACATTGAGAAGTTCAACAGATTCCCAAACAAATGAATGCACGAATGAATGACATTTCTTTATCAGTTGCATCCTCGTTCATGGACATTTTTGAAGGAACATCATTTGTACAAGCTGATGTTCATGGACATTTTTGAGGAACATCATTTGTACAAGCTGATGTTCATGGACATTTTTGAAGGAACATCATTTGTACAAGCTGATGTTCATGGACATTTTTGAAGGAACATCATTTGTACAAGCTGATGTTCATGGACATTTTTGAAGGAACATCATTTGTACAAGCTGATGTTCATGGACATTTTTGAAGGAACATCATTTGTACAAGCTGATGTTCATGGACATTTTTGAAGGAACATCATTTGTACAAGCTGATGTTCATGGACATTTTTGAAGGAACATCATTTGTACAAGCTGATGTTCATGGACATTTTTGAAGGAACATCATTTGTACAAGCTGATGTTCATGGACATTTTTGAAGGAACATCATTTGTACAAGCTGATGTTCATGGACATTTTTGAAGGAACATCATTTGTACAAGCTGATGTTCATGGACATTTTTGAAGGAACATCATTTGTACAAGCTGATGTTCATGGACATTTTTGAAGGAACATCATTTGTACAAGCTGATGTTCATGGACATTTTTGAAACGAGTCATTTATGGGTCAATTCCGGATACTTGAATCCCACTGGTTCATGGTCAGATGGAAAAGTCTCACGAATGACCTTGTAAGCACATGATGGAAGTGGCATTCGATTGTTCTTGCCAACAATCTGCCAACACCATCTAACCAGCTGTCTGTATGCAGTATATCTGTATTTGCTGAAAAGAGAAACAGAACAGTGTGAGAATTTTCTGGTGACTGAAAATAGCAATAAAAAATTATATTTTTGATGGCATGTTCTAAATTGCAGTGTATAGTAATTGTAAGTAAAGCAGAGATTCAATAATATACTCTTTATTTACCATAAATAGCTGTTCTATTTTTTTTTATAGCAGAGGCTAGGTGGAAAGAACAAAGTTTGCAGATCCAAAAATATTCAATTTTTGCTCTTTTACATGACAAAAAATTGCTTCTAGAAAGAGCACGATCACCGAGGCCCATTTCATGCGTTTTCATGTGCCGAATTCAATATGCGTAATGCATTTCCATTAGACGAATTGAATTCGGCACATAAGAAGAGCGACGCATGAAATGGGCCTGACTTTTTATATACTTACTCGCTGATCTGATCAGCCTCTTCATTGTACTTTTTTCTGTAGTTTTGTAGGTAGGTCTGTTGGAGGACCCAAATATCAAGGCACTGAGAATTGAACCCGGGGTGTTCAGTTATACATTTTATTTGGCCGTAGCCATCGTTATATTCCTCTATGGTGTTTACGACGGGAACTTTCTCCTGGCAGCATGAGTTTTCCTCCGGGGTCGCCCAATTACAGCACTGGCCACACTCACACCTGAATTGAAATGAAAAAAATTAGCCCCTCTGATCCAAACATGGCTTTGTTGTACCCCCCCCCCCCCCTCGTGGATCTCTCCCCGGGCCCTATAGACCTAGTTCATCACCAGTAAGATCTATTGATTCTGTGGACACAGAATCTGCTCTATAATCACTTTTCTCCTGGCAGCATGAGTTTTCCTCCGGGGTCGCCCAATTACAGCACTGGCCACACTCACACCTGAATTGAAATGAAAAAAATTAGCCCCTCTGATCCAAACATGGCTTTGTTGTACCCCCCCCCCCCCCTCGTGGATCTCTCCCCGGGCCCTATAGACCTAGTTCATCACCAGTAAGATCTATTGATTCTGTGGACACAGAATCTGCTCTATAATCACTGCTCTATAATAATTCACTGGGACTGCTGTAATCCTCGTTGCTCGCCATATTGTTGGACAATGGCTATACACGGTATGACGTCACGCGACTAGTGGTGGCGCCACTGGTTGTTTTTGAGGCAGACGAATTTTGTGGGCTTACAAAATCATGTTTATTTTTATTATCCGAGTCTAAATTTTCAATTTGATTTTATTAATGGATAAATATTAACCTAGGCCAACTGTGGATGCAAAATAATGCACCAGTTCTAGGCTATTCCTTTAACACCCTATATGTAATGCACTTGTCCTTGCCAAAATCAGACTTTATATAGTATTTTTGTTTTGCAGCAAGCATTAGGTCAGGAGTTAGTTTGACTTTCA